ACCTTCGCAGCTGGTGGCACCGTAGTGTTTGCCGGACGCCTTGTCACCGCAGACGACGCACAGTTCGTTGCAGATGTCGCGGAGGTTAGAAGATGCAGTGTCGATCAACTTTGACCTGGGGTACGATGAGTCTTTGCCGCCGTTGTCGGCGGCAACGACAGCCGAAACGGAGGCGACGGTGGCACTCTGCACGAAGCGTTGCAGCAGGGGACTGGCGTTCAGTCGAAGGCGGTCCAGGTGGCGTTGCTGGTTGAACGCCGAAGCTGTTATCTGTGATACGCAACATTAACGAAGACTAACCATCGACTACCAGCGAAGCGTCACCACCTGCATCACAGCAAGAATGGCACCGGGAGGAGTGAGGAAGTCGGGCGAAGCCGGGTCTACGCCACAAGATGCATTCGGGGGTGTGAAAAGCGCGGAAGGCAACGGCACCTTATTCGAAACGTCCGATTCGGCTCCGACCTTAAACAAAAAAACAATGTCGATCAGTCAAGGAATAAAGGATCAGGATTTGGTTCGAAATGTGTACAGAACACTGCAAGTCAACTTTCTTAACTCTTTGGTCCTCCTTCGCGCACTACAGGTTTCATTCCACAGGGAAAACTGGAACTATTGACATTGTATTGAAAACCAGTTAGATGGTTCCTTCTAAACGAGATTAAGAAGATGGTTCTGATACTTCGTCTTCATTTCTGTGTGTACTTTAACCAGTATAATTAAATGCCTGTGGGAAATCACCCCGTAGGGAATATAAAGATTACTAGCGGTAGTCATAACAAATGCTTCCATGTGACTACTGTCGTCAAGAAAAACCTGTTGTCATTGGATAGCCAACACGACATTAATACTACAATCAGTGGGAAAAAGGCTATCAAGATGATCATCACGAGTTGCAGAGAGAGATCCTAACTGAATTACGTCTCTATCTGTCGGGGTTGAAGTACACTACTTATCATCGTATGGTTAGTCCTAGCTAAACACTAAGATCATATCACACTAAGCAGCGATATAGTTGAATTTCTTTTCACCGGCTGTTTATAATGTTCTCTGAAGATGAGTATCGGAAGCTCGATCCGAAACTAGTGACTCCGTTAAATATATGTGCGGATTAAACCCTTTAAAAACGCTGACGATGAATTACTAAAATTGTCTAATTTCTTCAGTGTAACCCGCATGTAAATTTTAACAAGTATATCACCAGTGCTTAGAAATCAAAATCACTTGCTGAACTGAGTGAAAGAACAAGAAAAAGGTAGAAGAATAATAATAGAGAGAATAAGGAACATAAAAGAGAAGGAACAGGAGAAATAGAAGCAAAACCGTAGGAATAACAGAAGGAGAAAAAGTACAGAAAGATTTAACGCTTAAGCTACTTCAAGCGACAATACGCAATTTTTCCTTACACACAGACCACAATGGCCTTATGACATGCAGCAGAGTTTATGGACCCAATCACTGTGTAAGAAGTACATACTCACTCACAGCGAATAAGCATCGTTAGTGCTATAAATTTGCATATGACTTCAATAAACAAGGAGAAACACGCCATACAACATATTTAGCTAGTCGCACGGTAGCTTCTTTCTGGAAAAGTGACAGAGGCTATGTTAGCTGCTGAATATTGGCATGGGAATGGTTAAAATATTGTGCTTTTTATTAAGCTCTGGCTTCTCCAGCGACAGATGCTTATTTTAAATTCAGCAGGAGTTTTTTAGCAGGCGCCAATACCAGATTTCCAAAACTGAGATTAATATTATAAAGTCTTGGTTAGACGGTAAGTAAAGACCTAGCCACAGTCGTGGGGGTCATTACATGTACCTTTCTGCACAGATTTATTCTATTTTGTAAATGTAGAATTTTGATTTTGATTTTGATCCAGGGGTAATCTAATGTAAATGACTGTCAGAACAATTCAATGCGAACAATAAAGGTAATGGTAGTTTAGCAGTGCAGTTGAGAAACGGTCAATCGCATGTTGTAAACCAGTTGTATCCACAGTGAAGAGCCTATTTTCATAATGCTGGTGACTCGGTCTACTGAGGGAAAACAGAAGAAAGGAAGGCATCCACATGCACTAGCGCTCACAACCCTTGTATTAGCATTTCCTCCAAAGGTTGTCGTTAACATTTCAGACAGGTGACTACCAAAGTAAATTTCACTCCTCTGTTCCAAATAGAGGAACGATTTTGTAGACAGTGCAGGAAAGAGTGTTCAATTTTCAACCAAGAATAAGATGTAAGATTTTTGGAGAGGTTGACCGGCAATTCAATGTCCGCATTATAAAACCGGTAGGTGCTCGATTATGACTCGCATCGCATTGCGATCGTCCAGGCGATAAAACCAACTGCTGCCCATCCAGCAGGCCTCGCTGTCTATACAGATTTACTGTTACTTTGTGGAACAAAAATCATGTATAAGCTTTCTATAAACGCGAACAATCATTAGCAGGGTAGAAGTCGCATAACAACTGGAATACATATAATCGCATGCGAGAAAAGGAATACATTGGTAGATATCATCTGCACTTGTTACTCTTCACGAAAACTCGTCATAAATTCCGGAAATGTCGTTTAGCTTGTAAGGGGTATTTCACCATCGACAGATCTCACTGTGTCTAGAAAGTGACGGACGGATTTGACAGCGGAATGTATGTGGATAAAATAAACAAACATCATTCTGTATCATTAGGCAGATGGAAGCGTCTTATTCCACAAATTAGTTATATTCTATTTGACCGGAACCTGAATAATTAATTCAGGTAGTGGGCTTTGGGCAGTAACAGAATCCAAGAAGTAGAACCGAAAGAAGGAGTGAAGCATATAAGAGTGATTTTCATACGCTTAAGGAAAGATATTTGCAGGTCGCTCTGGGAAGTGAAGGCATGCTGCAAGACTAGCGCCTTGGCTTTGGCTTAGATTAGACGGCGCTTCAGACAGGTTCTCCACAATACTGTAGCGGTCCGCAGAAGAACGGTTCACTTACCACGACACAGACTTCGCCACGAATCTGTTCCAGACCTAAATCATGCTTCAGACGTCATAATTTTTATGCTGGAAGCAGCGTCTCTTTCAAACACCAGTTCAGAAATGCAGCAATTCGGCAACAGCTAAAACCATGTTGATGTCAAGCTGTCATAACTCTGATAGCCAGAGCTGAAAGGCAACAGACGACAGCTTTATAGAAGTTTTCTTTGATCATCCATAAGGGCGTTGTATCCCTTGTCGAAACGTTCTCACGCTTTATACGTACCGTACTAGGAAGCACGGTGACAGAGTGCAGCGTTGAGACCGGCCGGTCATCCTACTTTCACACGTTACAAAGTTGCGGGACTTGAAAATGCATTGCTTGACACATTCTCGCAGCGTCAAATAGTACGATCTCATTTCCAATAAACATGGGTCAAAAAGACCTGTTCTGTCAATATTGACGATATTGCACGAGGATGTAGAGGTGCGCCCCCCTTTTCATCTGACTTGGGAGACTAGGTAACGACAACTTTCCTCGTCACGCTATGCCGATTTTGAACCGAATCAGAAACGGAGGTCATATCATCTACTTCGAGGTGTAATTCGGCCTCGGGGTTCGGCAAAATAAGCTTGACGCCGGTCTACTCTTGTCACACCGTTGTATATCGGTCCACTTCAGAAGACCGAAAGAGACGCCACTTCTTAGTGAACCCATCGACACCGTGCGGCGATCACCTAACGTTGGCACAAGCAGCGGTAACACTGCTGAGACACGTCTCTCACAAGCGAGCTCAGCTTACCTCGATAAAGATCTCCGTTGCGGGTCGACCAGTCATCGTATTGAAGAAAAAGACTTAATGGGCTAAAACCAGCGTTCATCCTTAAGCCTTCGTTATATCTACAACCACATCTTCCACTTGATCCGTCGACATAAACTAATAATCAATAATTAGTAAATCATTCATGCATATTTAAATTCCCGGACTTATGTTTATAGTTCAGGGAATCGTAGGAAATGCGAAAATGAATTCGAAATCAATTAAAGATCAAAAGTGGACAGCGCCTGCCGCAAGATTTTCTGCCTTTCGTTGCAAGGATCGAACTATTGATGGTCCAGTATCGTTTACGGTAAATCCTTTGATGGCACGAACCCACGAATTCATACTTCAATACATCTTTGTCTTCGTTTGAATTTTAAGACGACCAGCAGCCAAATCGACGAGAAAGTCGATTTGCTCTTACGGTTTCGGTTGTGGTCGCGACCGTGCATTGCCTTAACGCTTGCGGGCGACCGCCCGGGAACAAAGCCAGACGTAAGAAACGGCTGCTCTGACTGTCGAAAACCGTCCTCGTTTAACGACCCCATTTCTTTCCGGTCACTGCTTACTTTACAATATATGGCTCAGTTGCGGTACGTCAACGCAACTATCTGAGGTGGTGGACAAAAGCAAAACGATCAAGCCTCACCGACCTTTCACACAATGGGCATCGAAGGATCCTCCGTGATTACAGATTAGGAAAATCGACCGCCGTATATATTATGACACTTGAAGCAAAGATCAGCTGAAGTAATGCTCTTTCGATCTCACGAGAAAAGAAAACCAATTTTTTGTTTGTTAATTAAATCATCAAGGAAAAGTAAGTGTAAGGTATGAAAGTACAAGTCTAAGTAAACACTGATAGTAGTTTCATGTAGTAGTTCTCCTACTAGACATGTTAATCTCTCCTCAGACGACAGAGGAAAAGATTTTGTTATTAACAAAGTTTCTCTCGCTAAGGTGTAATTCATCACGATGGACTGAGTCAATGGTAACAGGCCAAATATGCTCTCAATATAAATTACGCAAATTGGAGGGAACAAAATCCGATGAGTTGGTCTATAAACTTAAGCAACTAGAAAACATTGAAGACACAAGAAAACCTAATATTCTGTTGTTGCTTCAGTCCATGAATGAAACGTTCACGTTGCCTACGGGGAGAGATGAAAATAACACAGTATAATAAGATACGCCTGTCACTTTTACTATCGCCGGTAACTTTTCACTTAGAAAATTAGCAGAGCATGTTATTTTTGTCATTCCTTGCATTTATTTATCTATCGATCGAAAAAAACAGTCAATTCTAGCCATTTCAGAGCAT